TAATTTTTTTTAGAAATGTAGATTACTGTTCTTCAGTACAGTAGGAAACCAAAACGATGCATGTGTGGACATTGCTGCAACATACGATGATTGTTTTTTACGTACTTAGAAGAACTACTGTACACAAAGGGTATGAAACTCCTGTTCTGTTAAGTTCTGTTCTGTTTGTAAATAAAGTTCTGACACTCTTTACTTGCGACAACGGGTCTGAAAAAGGTACTGGAGTTAATGAAAATGAACACACATGTAACCCCTTTCTGTAAATATGGTTTAAAATAAAAATTTTCTCGCACCCCGCTATTACGGACTCTTGCTATTACGGACACCAAATCATGGTCCCGAGGGTGTCCACTATAACGGGAGTTGACTGTATTCCAGACTTGAAATAAAATTGGAAAATTACAAGAGTCAATGGATACATAGAGTAAAAGTACTGAGTGGCTACTCACATCACTCATCTTGTGACTGGAAGTGGTCAAGGATCTCTAGCCGGAAGTGATCATTACATCCCTCTTCCCCTAAAGAAAACTGGTTTGAATACTAGAAATAACATTGACAAGCATAATGTCATAATGCAATAAGCTGCTTGTAACATGAAAGAAAAAATCCAACTATGGGGTTCAACATCCTGAGGTAGCAAAACTTAATTTAAATGTCCATCCTGGAGGGTGTCTTGACCACCCTTCCACTGTGTGTCACATACTAGACTCCTGCTGTTGAGGTATGGCTGATTGGCTGAGCTAGCGCTGGTCCTTGGGTAGGGTTAGCTGGTAGGCTAGTCTCTGGGGTTGTACTGGATGGTTTGGTAGCAGCTGGGGATGAAACTCTCCTCAGGCTGGTTTGGGTGGCTGGGATATTAGGTATGCTGGACTCCGTCTTGGTTGCAAAATGGCATACTTGATTGTTTTGTAGGTCAACTCTGACATGTTTAGGTCGTGTTTGAGCAATTTGTCATATTTGCGATCTGTTCCTACATAGCTTCCTTGCACTTGATGTTGATGCAATTTAAGACTGAGGGGCCCCCTCTAACTTGTTCAGTAGCATCACTGACTTCCATTCCAGGGTCTTTGGGTTCTGAATGGCTATGTTTTGTCCAGGAACCAGGCTGGGTAAAGCAGTGGCATGTTGATAGTGGTAAAACTTCTGACATGCTTGTCTCTCTTGTAGTCTGAAGATGAGCTCATCACTGTTGTGGTTACTCTGGATCCTCGTGGGTAAGTTGTCCTGTATCTGTCTTTCTACCAGCAACTCTGCTGGAGATGGAAACTTGCTCTTGATCGATGTTGCTCACAGGCATAAAAGGGTGATGTTTGGGTCTGAGTTAGACCTCTTGGCCTTCTTTAAGACCTTCTTGACAGTTTTGACTTGGCTTTTGATGAACCCATTACTCTAAGCGTAGTTGGGTGAACTTGTCACATGATTGAACCCATACTCCTTTGAAAACTGATGGTAGTGTCCTTGGTAGTGGTGTCCATTGTCTGACTTCATGACTTGTTTGGTAAGATCAACCACACATTTACTAGTGCTGTGGCCCTTTGGAACTTTTCTGACAAATGGGTACTTGGTGTAATGATCTGCAATTAGAAGGTATTTGTCACTGTCAAGGTAAAATATGTCAGTTTCTAAGGTGTGCCATGGCCTGGGTGATACTTTGGTTTGTAATAGAGGTTCTCTTGCTTTTTTCGGCTGGAGTTCCTGGCATATTTTACACAACTTGGTCATGTCTTCAATATCCTTGTTCAAGTTCCTCCAAAATACTGATGTGCATGCCCTCAACTTGGTCTTCTTTCTACTCTGGTGACTTGCATGTAGTTTACATAAAATGCCTCCCTGGAGCACCTGCAGCATGACTATTTGGTGGCCTTTCATAATCAAGTTGTCTTCAGTAGACAATTCTCCGCAATAGGACCAATAGGGTCATATGAATGTAGGTAGTTTTTTTGCTGTAGTGGGCCAACCTCCTCAAGAGCAGTGAGCTCTGGGTCTTTGGCTGTTCCTGCTTGGATCTTCTGTAAATATTCACTTGAAAACTGAGGGCATACGTGATGAATCTGCTCATTAAGGTCTGGTATTGGCATGTCTTCTTCTGGTGAGAGCCTTGAGAGGGCATTGGCTATCTGCATTTGCTTGCCAGGTCAATATTTGATAGTGACATCATATGGCTGTAAGCATGGGAGCAGCCGTTGCAGCCTTGGTGGTGCTGAGATCAGGTTTTTTAACTGGATAGATTCCAGGGGTTTGTGGTCAGATTCTATGACGAAACTAAACTTCGACCGTAGAGGTAGGTGTGAAAACGCTTGTATCCATACATCACAGCTAAGAGCTCTTGCTTAATGTTGGCATAATGTGATTCAGTGTCCATTAGAGCTTTGCTGGCAAAAGCAATTGGCTTTCCATCCTGCACAAGGTAGCTCTAAGACTAGTTGTCTAAGACTAGACTACTTCTTTTGTTGGGTCATAGTACACAAGGGTAGTCTCTGTACTGATGGCATCTTTGATT